GTGAACACACAATAAAATATACAGATGATGTATCATAAAATTGTACATCTGAAACTTTTATAATTTTATTAACCAATGTCACCCCAATAAATTCAATAAATAAAAAAAACTAAAAAATATACATGTTCTTCTTTTCCATTAAAAAGAAAAAATAAAGCAAACAAGATAAGATAAAATGAGGTCCTTACCTATCTGAAGCAGCAGGGTGGATTTTGGTCTCTGCAGACTAGGATGGCTTCACCTCTCTTTGCTGGAACAATTGACTGATGGGGGCAGGGTGGGGGGTAGTGTGGGGGTACAGTACTTTTAAGAACTGGTTAGTGGGAACAGTCATTGCCCCCTGGTGGATGATTGATGCTTACCCAGAAAGCTGAGGAAGAGCAAAGGAAAAGATCTTGTAACCCTCTCGGGGTAACTTTTGTACAGATGGCAACCTAAACACTTCCACATCCGTGATCTTAAATTAATGTCTTTAACCTTTGGGAACAAATTTTGCTGATGTCTTGTGGCATCCGCCATCCAACAGCAGTGTTCTCCGCCAGATTTGCCTCTGGTTTTTACCCCTAACAAACTAGCTAATAAATCACCAATGCTCAAGTGTTATATAAAATATGAAGTTCTGAATTGTCTGGGAAGATTTTTCTAGCCCTGTGTAAAGTGCTGCTAATTACAGGATATCATATTGATTCAACAAATATTCAGTTGTTCTGTATTATTGATTCTAGATAGAGATACAAAAAAGAAATAACAACGAGTTCACAGCAAGAAAGACTGCTTTCTCATACTTATTTCTCTCCTATCCTCTCAGCTGTCAGAAGAAATAAGATTTTTAAAATTAAGACATGTCCATTACTAAAACCACTAGCATTATACTATTACTACTCAACTACCTCTCTACTTCAGATTGTCCATTAACATTCTACCCAGGGCTCTGTGACCATGTGTATTATGTACAGTTTTAAAATATAGCTAATGACAAGAAATATTTGGAATCTCAAGTAGTTTTTTTTAGAAACAGAGTATATTTTAATTATGCTTGCTTAAATAACACTAAGTCTTCTTCCATGTTTAAGATTCTAAAATTAGGAAACAATAAATTGTGGAATCATCACCTAAGAGGAACCATCGACAGAATGAGTCAGAGTCATTCTAGAGACAGCATTTCCCCATACATTTGGGACAAATTTCCGTCATGTGAGACCTGACCCTCAATCCAAAACGTATAAAACCTGGCAGCTTCCTGACTCACTTAAAATTAGGTTGTCATTTTCATCATCATGGTCAGATTTTCTTAATTCACTTAAAATCTGAGCAAACTAATTTTACAAAGCTTACTTTTAAGAATTATTTCAAACCATGATGTCTCTCCTCATAGATCTGTGGCTCCAGCAAGTTACTGCCTTAGAATTTAGTTTCTTCATCCTTAAAATGGTGATAAGACTACTCAGGAGGATTAAATGAGACACTGTGTATAGAGCACAGAGAAGGGCCCAGGAATACTATAATATTCTGCAAATATTGTCGAATACTTTGCCTGTTATTTCTACTCCCACAGAACTAGGGCCATCTGGTCTTGCAGCTCAAGGATCTTAAATATTCCTGACATTGACATCTAATGACCCATGTCAGACATCTATGCAGGATGCATCACAGGTGACACTGATGATTGTATAAGGAGTTGGATCTGACTCAGTCCTAAACCCAAGCATTGTGCATTTCACCCAGCCATAATGGGAAAGAAGAGTCCTGTGAGCAAAACTGGCCTTTCCTTTTGCCTATTTACATTGTGGGTTTCTGCTTAAGATTTTTGTATTTAAGGAAGGGTCTTGCAGATACCAATACACACACTCATGAAAGTACTCTGAGGTGATAAAGCCCAGCTTTCTTAGCCAGCTGTTGGAGGTTGTCCATAGCCTGGCCTTAATTTACTTCTCTGGCTTCCATATCCCATGTCTCTCCCTCCCTTTCTGCACCCCTACTCCAGGCATACTGACTTGTTACTCATCACTCACGAGGTTTCAGCCCAGACACTCAGCCTTCTCTGGCCCTCAAACTCTGCCCATCTCTAGGTATGACAGCAAAACCATCCTGCTGGGAAGATTTTCCACAATTGTCTCAAAGAAACTGAGTAAAACCCAAGTTCATATTCAGTTTTTCTCCCTGAATAATTGTATATTTGTGGATTCTTAAAAAATGTCAGCAGCTATGTTTTGCCTGTGAGTGAAGTCCTGACCCACAGCACTAATGGGAAGCCTGATGGCACAAACAAGGAACCTGGTACTGACCAAGTCTCAGACAACCTCATCCTGTTGCCTCCTCAGACTATGGTCACATCTTCTTGCTTATTTGCAGAAACAGCAGAGGAAAAACTGGATAGCTTTTGGGGAAAAAACACTCATTTGCATCCCTAGTTTCATTCTTTACATCAAAATACATTCTAGATGAACCAAAGTTTTAAATGTAAAAAATGAAACATTAACAATAAACGAATGGAAGAAGAGACACATGAATTTATGAATTTGGAGTGGGGAAAGCTTTTCTACACAAGATAAAATAATCAGAAGTCAACAAATGAAAAGATTGATGATTATAGCTAATTAAAAATTTTCAATGTTTCTACAACAAAGAAGCATAAATATTAAATTATATCAAACTGAGAAAATATATATTTTCTTTGCAACATATATTATGAAGGACTAATTTTCTTAATTTATAAGAAGCCCTTATATATCAACCAAAAATTACTAAATACACCAAAAAAAATAGGTAAATTATCTGTCAGGTAGCACATACAAATGACTAATAAGTTGAAATGATGTTCGATTTTTTTAATTAAAAAATATAAATTAAAGCAAAGACATACAATTTTTTTAACCTGTTGGATGGGCAATTAAAAGATAATATCCGATGTTCTTAACGGTGTAAGAACACAGGTTTTCTCATGCACTGTTTTGAAAGTACAACTTAGCAAAATTTACCAAGAAAAAAATTCCTTTGATTCATTAGTTCCACTGCTAGAAATTTAGCTTGGAAATAAATTCAAGACCTACAGAGTAATAAGCTAATTGCTAACCTTTTTGTAATGAAAAGAGTTTAGTTATTTGTTAGTAAAAGACTGGTCAATTGAGTCATGATACCTACCAAACACAGAATTCTTTGCAGTTATTAAAAAAAGAATAATGTCGACAAGGAAAGTTGTTAGAAATATTAAGTGGGAAAAATTTTGGAAGGTATATGATTGCATTCATATAAATTTGAAATGCAGGTGGATGGGTTGAGTATGTACATGGGTTAAATACATGAATGTAAATATTTTTCTGGAAGAGTACCTAAGTGATTACTTTTGGGGAGGGAACTGAATGGGGAAGCAGGGAACATGTGGAGTACAGGAATAGTTTCATTTTATGCCTTTCTAAACCAGTCTAAGACCTATGCCTTGTATTCACAACTTTGTATATTGCATTTAAATTGTATGCACATGACACATAGCCCAGATACTGAGGACCTTTGTTCTCAGCTTGCCACCTGGAGGGCCTAAAATTTCAAGTACTGGATATAATTTATGAACTGGATTAGTAAAAGTACCATTTTACTACTCTGTATAAGTTCAACATTTTTTAGAATTAAGGTCCTTTATATTGAAGGACTGTAACTACTGGTGACAGAGAAGGATAAACATGCAACACATGTAACCATGATGGGAGCTCCTTATCCTGCTCCAGGGGGAACTATGAAAGGGCAGATATGGCCTGAAGAACAGTTTGTGGTATTTCAGTCCAACCTCGACAAGTGATCCAAAATGTCACACAGTACCTGTTGTCAGTCCCAACAGCCCAAACACTTTAACCATCAACGCCACTTGTTATAAAAGTGAAAACTTGCCCTGGCTGGTGTGACTCAGTTGGTTGGGCATTGTCCCACAAAGCAAAAGATCACTGATTTAATCCCTGGTTAGGGCACATGTTCCTGTCCTTTGTCCATTTTATAATTGGATTTTTTTGTCTTCCTGGAGTGGAGTTCTGTGAGTTTTTTATACATTTTGGAGATTAAACCTTTGTCTTAAGTATCATTGGCAAGTATATTTTCCCATACACAAATATATTTACCCATTTGGTTGGTTCCCTTTTCATTTTGCTGATGTTTCCTTTTAGCAGTGCAGAAGCTTTTTAATTTGATGTAGTCCCATTTGTTTATTCTTTCCTTTATGTCTCTTGCTCTAGGAGACAAATCAGTAAAACTATTGCTGTGTGGAATATCTGAAATTTTCCTTCCTATATTCTCCTCTAGGATTTTTATGGTGTCATGACTTATATTTAAATCTTTTACCCACCCTGAGTTTATTTTTGTATATGATATAAATTGGTGGTTGAGTTTCATTTTTTTTTGCATGTAGCTGTCCTGATCTCCCAACATCATTTGTTGATGAAGCCTTTTTTACTCAATTTTATGCTTCTGCCCCTTTTTAAAAATATTAATTGTCCATAGAGACATGGGTTTATTTCTGGGCTCTCTATTCTGTTCTATTGCTCTATGTATATGTTCTTATGCCAGTACCAGACTCTTTTGATTACAGTGGCCTTGTAATATAGTTTGATTTCAAGTATTGTCATCCCTCCTACTTTGTTCTTTCTCAAAATTGCTGAGGCTATTTGGGGTCATTTATTGTTCTATATAATTTTTTGAAATGTTTGTTCTATATCTGTGTAATATGTCATTGGCATTTTAATAGGGATTGCATTAAATCTATAAATTAAAATCATTTTTTAAGAAGAAAACTGACCACTTTATCCAGAGGCTACCATCTACGTAATCATGTAGATAAATAAGCAAAATGTGTTTTCTAATAGTGGAAACACGGTTCCTGAGCTTATCAGTTGCTAGGGTTTGAATATATTGACGTCTACAAACAATAGAAAAGATCTTAAGCCAAAAAATCCACCTAAGATCCCACCTGTACCTGTTGATATGACCTCATACCAGGACTTCTTAATACCACTTACGTAATGTAGGTGAAAAATGTACTCAGGGGCTCCAGGGAATGATTCCGGAAATATTCAAATTCTCTGCACAGCTTTTTCTTCATCTCAGTGTCAATTTTGGAAACAGTGAGAGGGTTGACTTGATTGGCCAGGAAGTTGCCATAATCAGTGGTCTGGAGATGAACTTTCAGATCTGAAATTGAACAAAACCCAAAGTAGGTTAAATTTTGAACATGCATGAATAGCCTTTACAACAGTAAATGAATTTATGTTAACTTCATGATAAATGCATACTTAATTATTACTACTTTCTTAGATCTTAACATGAGATCTATATATCATTTAGATGAGTATATTTCTCTGAAGCAAGAAATAATTCAATATTAATACGGACTCATTCTAATACAATATACACATTTTCATTACCTAAAAAATCTAGACTTATTTAGCACAGCTGAAAGAACATTAACAACCACCCAGTGCAGACATGGCAAGTAGGTTTTACTGGAGCCAGTTTTAGTCATTTGAAATACCTGCTCAGAAAACTGTTGAAAAGGAACTAAGGCCCAGCTTGATGGAAAAGAGACATTTATCAGTAATGTGGGCCAGTGATGCAGGAGGTGGCAGGGGCAGTTGTCAGCCCCCTTTTATTATAGATGAAGAAACTGAGTCTCAGGGCCTAAAGGGTAGAGTTAGTAGGGGAGCTTGAACTAGGAGATGGGTCTCCTTACTCTAAAAATCTAACATCATTTCTACAGGACCATGCCAACATCCTTTAAACTACAATGTTTTAGACTTCCAGATAACTGAATTAAATTCCAACTTCATTTACTGTGGCTTTGCTCCTGAGCAAACCATGTATTTTCCAGCATCCATACTTTTGTTAATGCTGGCACTACCCTACTCTTCAGGAGTCCCTCCACCTTTTTCCAGAGTTGCCCACTATAATGAATTCTTCAACATTAAAACAATAGTTACCAGTGACTAAATGCTTATTATGTACCAGGCATTGTACTAAGCTTGTATTATCTCATTTAATACTCATGGCAATCCTATGAGGTGGGAATCATGTTTATCACCTTTTACAGATAAGAGCACTGATGCTCAGAGAGGTTAATAACTCGCTCAAGATAACAATGAGAAACAAATTAAAGTCAGATTTATCTCGTTCTGAAGCCCCTTAAAAATCTCTATTTTATTGACAATCAATTAAGTTAGGTTATTAATTGCTCTGTATACAGTAGCTTGAAATCTGTTGGTAGAATTATTTACTCTCATGCATTTGAATTTCAAAGTTCTTTGATGATAACTTCTAGCATAGCACCTGTCACAAGATGTTACATAGTCTTAACTATGTTAACTCCAAAGAGGTAGTTACATTAGCTTAGTTATCTCCTTTATCTCTGGCTCCTTGTGAAGCACCCCACATTTTAAGTGTTATTAAGTATCTGAATACCAAAAATGTCTTTGGCACCATCTCACACACAACTGAGCTAATATAGCATCCTGGTGCTCATTGGATTCTTCATTCAAATGTCGATTAAGCATCTTCTATATGCTTTTACCATAGGAGACCCAAAGATGGACCAGATGTATTCCTCATCCCCAAGGAAATGCAATCTGCTTGGGAAAGAAACACCACAAACAGATGGTTCAACCATGAGCTAAGTTCAGTGATTGAGATCAAGATCTTGACAGATGGGAATGCAGACAACGAGAGCCAAGTCCACAGAGATAGGAGCACTGGAGCTAAGGAAAGTTTATTGGAGGATGCTAAATCAGAGATGAGCCTTAGGTGCCAGGTAGTAGTCAGAGGAAGGCATCCCTTGAATTAGTGCAGGTATGGGAGGTGCCACAGCTTACAGCAACTCCATGTTGTTGAAACTTCAGAGGAGAAGGGGAGGTAAGAAATGAAGCCAGAGAAGTAAGCAGGGGTATCCCAAGAAGGGCTGGGTAGGACATCCTTTATCCCGATGACAACAGGGAGCAGCTATGGGCTGTGGGTTCTAGGACGAGGGTGTTGCAGGGAGGCATCTGTGATTCTTAAACATCTGAGATTCAGTGGCAGGTCTTCGTCCTCAGAATCTGGAGTAGATTATACATCATAAAAGTTATTTATGTGAAGAATTTACTTGCTCAATTGCCTATTTAATTAACTCATTAAAAAAATTATAACTCTTTTGCCATGTCAAGTGGGTTTTTTGGCAGTTCAGATTTTTACATTATTTGACAGTTGCATTCTCCATGCTAAGAGTCCTATAATTTTGCCAAAGGAAGGGATACAAATGGCATTTCTTTTAAAACCATGATATTTTCCTCATGTGATGTATATTTCTTTTAAGCAAAACTTCAAATCTTTCAACTGGCAGAGACATCCTGCAATTAGATGTGTCCAGTGGCCTGGACCCCATAGAAATGTTGCACCGCTGTATGTGATGGGCAGGCAAATGCAATGGAAGGGACCTTCTGTTCCAACACCAAATACCCAAGGAACAGTTTCATTCAGAGTCTAAGAAAATCTTAGGGTCTAAAATGCTTGCTCTCAGACAGTGGTGGACCACCGATAATAATAACAATGCTTGTTTGTGTAGAATTATAATTTTCAAAGTGGGTTCAGTCATTCTTGCCTTCATTTTCCCAAGTGCTTATCTAAATAAGTATCTCTGTGGTCAAATGCATTTGGAATAAACAGGCTCTTATCTGCAGGAATTGAGAGCTTATGTTGTATTCCTTTGAGTAATGTGTGGTACAGGACCTCCCCAGCCACTAGAAAACAATGGAGCGACCCACACAGCACACTTGAGAAAATTATGGTGCTTTTTCATCCAGAAGTTTTGTGACAAGTGGCATATTTTTCCTTCTTTACTCAAAGAGAAAATGAAATATTTTTTAAACTGTGGGAGCATTACCAAATAAATCAGATTATTAGGTCCCAAACATTGAAAAAAATAAAGGCCTCAACTGGGCTCTTACAACAAATATCAGAGTGTATCACAGAGGAGTGTGTGTGTGTGTGCAGGTTTGTACCCAGGGTTGTAATGAAAAATGGGTCTCCAGTGGGCTCAGGGTTCTAGCGATTTGTTGGGCAGATCAATTTTAGAAAATGATGAGAGTTAGTATTTGTTTTCTGGCAGCTTCCTCTCTATAAAAGGGAATGTGCACACCTCTCATTCTTCAGGTCGGTTAGGCAAGGAAGCCCCTCCAGAAGTACCTGCGAAGGGCACCGTCCTTGCTCAGGCCCTGCATTTCCTCATACTCTGAAGTTTCCTCATCTACAAAATGGGTATAGATTCTATGCTTTTGGGTTGTTGTAGGGATTAAGGGAGCCGGAAGTGAGGAACTAGCATGTAGAAGTAATCACATAATATTAATTTCTTTTCCTTCTCACTTACACCCATTTACATCCAAAATAATTTGATTCAGTTGGCTAAGGACTGTGCTTTTTTACTCTCTAACCAGAGATTTATCAACCTACATGTTAAAACTGACCATCACATTTGATAATTACTCCTATTTTAGTAAATATATCAATATTTTTAAAACCAGACTTCTTACGCCATGTTTGCTAATTTACCACCATCTTACAATGATAAACCTTCAAGTCCTCGTTGGTGCTTTATCACATCGCCTGCATTTTCTGCAAAGACCTCCAAGCCTTATTCCTTACACCTTTGATTTAGAACCATGGGCTGCCTACCAGGTCACTGTGGCCATCTCCTAACTGACTCTTCACAGACAGAATGGTTTGAACATACAATGTGTCTTAACCTTAACAATAACTCCTATTTCATAAACAAAGAAACAAAGGCCCAGAGAAATAACCTGTTCATGTTTTGCAAGTGTTGAACTAAAGACCAGACATGTCTCTTGTTCTCATTCAGTATTTCAAAGCTCTACAATCAGACCTTCAAAGTCCTTAATCACGTTTCCCAGCTGAAATTCCAGCCTTATCTCCAGGCATTCTAGTATTGCAGCCAAACTGGCTTACTCTCCACCCAAACACTTTTATTTCTAACTGTAACTTTGAAACAGGAATTATTTTAGGAATTCAGGAGTACAGCAGAGAGAGGAAACTAGTTCTTGTTGTAGACACACTGTTGTTTAGGAGTACTTAGGAGTTCCCAGAAATTTTATGATTTACAGTTTACAAAACATCTTCAGGAAACAGAGAGGTAGGACAGGGAAACATCATCTAAGGAGTTTTATCTTTCTTCTCTAGCATGGAAGTCCTTTTAGGTCAGGGACTATACTTTTTTTTTCCTATCTACACCTTTTTGTCTGTAGCTACATAGTGATTACTATATATGGTGGTTGAATTAACTCCCAATTGGAAAGGAATTGGAAAGGCACAATTGGAAAGGAATAAAGGTTGTGCCCACCATGAGGATGTCATTGTTAGTGAGATATAATCTGTTCCTTTTCCTCCATTCCAAAGAAAGGTGGCTGACAGGAGACAGTAAAGGGGGATCCCCGAGTCTTCTCACCATACCTGAGAGCTATGCACACTTCTACCATATATTTTAGAAAAGAGTATTTTTACTAAATTCTGGAGCTCTGAGGTATTTCTTGTACCACCTTGTTTTTCTTGAAGAGGAAATAATATTTATAACAGCCTTATTTATAATTTAAAAAATCTGATGAAAATAGAGGTGTTGGCCTGGCAAGACCCAGAAGAACCTCAAGTGCATCTTAGTCAGTGGAACAACCACTCTGAAAAGGCTGCAGACTGTGATTCCAGCTCTGACCTTTTGCAAAAGGCCACACTTTGGAGACAATAGAGAGATCAGTGGTCTCAGGGGTGAAGGTTGAGGAGGGTTTTCAGGGCAATGAACCTAAAACTGCTCTAAAAACTAACATCTTAATACGAATATGATGGTGGTAATTCTTTTACAGAATACTTTCTGCTCCTTCACCATTATTATTTTGGTTCAAGTCTCTATTAAAGAATTCAAAGGTTTCTGTGTGGATACAGCCTCCAGGCAGCACCCAGTGCACAGGCCTTGAGATCAACTTCCCTCTCTGGTTCCTGGGAAGACTGAGTCAAAGCTTCTCAGGATGGACTCTGTGCACTGTCGGTAAGGGGCAGGCCTAGGAATAAATGAATACTTCTGACAACACTCGTTCAATTTTTCACAAATACGAATACTGGGTCTTTTCAAAGCTAGTATGGATGATCTTCATGTTCTCTCTTCCAAATTCCAAACCTTATGTGTTCCTTGTAAATGGCTCTGGAACAATTTGCTGATAACAAGACACCTTTCTTTTAAAGACTAGAAGACTTATCTTTACCAAGTTAGCTTTTCTGTTAGAGAAAGTGTCTGCTTCAGCACACAGCACCCTCATGACACTGTTACCCCTACTCTTGTTTATCTATCATTTTATGGTGGATATTGTATGCAGAAGTAAACAAAATCCCAAAGTTCTTAACTTCTAATAAGGCAGCTGGGAAGGTGGCTGTGTTTCTCTCAATGCATTTTCAGATGCAACAGGTACATTGACATTCACAAGTTAATTACTAACCATACTGTGAAATAATCAGGCAGAGTGGACATTATTTTCTATGTCACAATGGAGCTGTCAGTGATTGGGACCTATTCATGGAGCTTCAACTCATGCTCAGGGATAAATATTTCAGTGAACAACAGACACAGATATATCCCTGTCCTCCATCCCCAACAATAGTGTTAGATTAGTCATGGCCTCTGTTTCCTCAGCTTATAACCAAGGACATGTAATCTTTATTTTATTTAGACTCATTTTCTCAGCAGTCATTATAATTTATAGTTTCATGATTCACACTGATATTCCTAAGAGTCCCCAAACCATAGATTGGCACTGATTCAAACATAGTTGTGCAATTGAAAAAATACGGTTTTGGGAGGAAAGAGACACGAGATGCAAAGACAACAAAGCCACAGTGTGTGTAGAGAGTCTTCAGCCAGGGTGCAGGGATGACTTTGGTGGTCCTCCACTCCCAACATCATATGGAGAATTCTCTGTGTGTGTACCTGTGTGTATTTTACTAAAAAGATTCCTTCTTCAAGTCTTCAAGAGTCTGAAAGCTTTCTTTCCCTCCCAATTTGAAGCTGACAGTCGTTCTTCCTTGAATATTTTTAGTGAGTAGGCTAAAGCCTTATTGCCTATCTTGAAGACATTTACTGTATTGCGTTTAAATCTGCATATTTTAACCCATTGAAAAGCTTGCCTTAAAACTAATCAGAACTTATTCAAATTACTTCTCTCAGAAACAGTCTTTCTGTCCTGTGTTCATTAATTTTTCTACCTCAATTTATGCAGATTTTCTATACATGATTGAGAAACCCTGCAGTCCCCAAACTCCTAATATAATATCCTAAAGTGATTTAGGAGCTGGGATTATGTTGTGATTATTTGTAGCCAACAGAGTTAGTTAGCATCTGGAAGTTTTTTCTGGCTCTTTAAATTGCTAATGGGAGGAGATGGTCCATTTCAGCCTGGGCAGGTTGGCCTTTGCTCTTGGCTGTAACTGGTCAGAGCCATAAACAAATGATCTCAGGACCCTCAGCTCCACTTGAGAAGCTTGCAAAGTCACCTTCACATTTTTTTCTGCTTTGTCTTTGCTTTCTGCTACTTTTCCTGGCAGTCTGGACCCTTACTGCTTTCTTGCTTTTTCTAAAATAATTTGGAAGTTGGAAACAACCTTCTTATGGACACATTACAGTACTGATTTTATTATGTTTCAAAATGAGTCAGTGTAGCTGTTTTTAAGAATAAAAATACTATATCATAGATGTGACATCTTTGGTAAGAATTTGAAAATATTGAAGCTTAAAGATAATTTCCAGAGAGGGGAAAATGGGGGGGTGTCAAATAATAGAAAGTTTTGATTTTACAAGATGGATAAGTGCCGGGGATCTACAGTACAGCATAGAGCCTATAGTTTATAACCCCCGACTCCCTGGCAAATAATAATAACGAAGCTGGAGGAGACATTTAGAGGTGATAGATAGATTTAAAGCACATATTGTAGTGATGGTTTCTCATATATTTATCTCTAAATTCATCAAGTTATATATATTTAATATATACAGCTTTTTGTATATCAATCATACCTTAATAAGGTGGTTTCAAAAAACAGCTAATTTCCATTTACAAAGTGTTTCACAATTCTGACAACATTCTCTCATATATAACCTCATTTATGTCTCCAAACAACTTGACAAAGCAGATGTTACCTTTGCATTTTATGAGTGAGAACTCTGCTCAGCCTGGAGCCCCAGGTCACCTACCTGCACCTGGCAGAGGTGAAAGACCTTTGGGTCAGGCCTCACTGTGGTTTATTTTAAGCTTCAGTTAAAGAGAAACTTCAAATAAACTAAAATAAGCTCTATGAATAGATATTGAGAAACTGGGAATAGAAAGAATTTCTCTGGACTAAGGTTCTTAGCCTTTTTTTTTTTTTGGCCATAGATCCCTGGGCAATTTGGTGATGTCTTTCTCCAAATAATATTTATAAATATGTAGAATAAAAATAGATACGATTTCAAAGGAAACCAAATATATTACAATATAGTTATCAAGATATTTTATTTACTTATTTATTTATTATTTTTGGTGGAGAGGCATAAGCAACTGAAATTTATTGTATTAAAATTTTGAAGGCTAGGCATGCAAGTTTAAGGTGTTGGCAGGGCTGATTCCTTCTGAAAGATTTGGAGGATGATCATTTTCACTTCTCTCCCATGTATTTTTGGCACTTTGGTTTATACAATATAACTATCATCTGGATTTTTGCCTTCATCTTCACATGGTTATCTCCCTTTGTGCATGTATATATCCAAATTTCACCCTTTTTATAAGGATAACTTAAATTAGGGTAGGGATCTACCCTAATCCAGTATGGTCACATCTTAACTCATTACATCGGCATTGATACTATTTCCAAATAAGGTCATATTTTGAGGGACCAGGCATTAGACCTTCAATGATGAATTTTGGAAGAACGTAATTCAACCCATAACACTACATTTGGATTACTTGTTATTTGGGCGGGAAAAAAGATGTTACAGTCTTCTTAAGCCAGCAATAGACTCTTTTCTTAAAAAGTGTAGAACACTAACTTCAAGGGACATCCTGTGCAATGACAGAAATCATGTGAGTTAACAAATCTTTGTGATGAGTATAAAAATAGGCACGATGCAGAGTTTTTAACTGGGAAATATTAGTGGAGTTTGTAACTAACTCAGATACTTAGGATGAGATAGCGAGGGTGGTGTTTGAAGGTGACTTTTTTTCTCACAGACTTACAATCCAGGTTTATTAGACATTCTATCTTGACATAGTTTCTACAGATTTCTCTGATCGCTGGCTGTATAAGGGGTGAGGAGAAGGCTGTCCACAGAGTCAGGAAAGATGTCAGGATTAGAATCCTCTCTCCGAACCTCACAGAGACAGGGTTAGGGGGTTAGCCTGGGTTGAAAGGGTTTAGCCTTCTGCTGCCCACCGTTCCCCTAGTTGTAAGTCTTAGGAGGCAGAGGAGAAAGAGAAACAGATAATGTCCCCATATGGGCCACCAAAATGTTAGGGTGGTCAGCGACATGGGCTGTGAAAGAATTCACAAAGAAAAGAAGGTACAAAGAGTAAAGTTTTTATTTTACTTTCCCAATAGAGGGAAAAAGCTAAGTGTAGAGATACACACCAGCCAGATACAAGATATTTTAAAATATATAATACTGTGCTCCTTTATTAAGACATTAAATATCACAATTAAGGGATGAGAGCAGTCTTTTCCATAATTTTGAAAAAAATAACTGATATAAGGATCTGAACTCTATAAGGACCTGAAAATACCAGAACTGTATAAGGATCTGAAAATACTGACTTTCTATTGGTAAGATTTCACTTAGAGAATACTGAACACAGAGATGTGATTGTTTTTCTGATCCAAGTTCATGGACCCTTGAATTCTGGACCTTTGGGATTAAGATCCTGCTCTGGGCTCTCAGGCCCTGGGACCAGTCCCTCCCGTAAGTCCTTGAGGGCCAGAGTCATTATTTCATCTCTAACCTGTGAGAAGATTAACTTACCCTCCAGGGTCTCACACTGGACCAGGTTGATGTAGTCCTGCTGGGTCAGGAGGCCAGTCTTGCACCCTCGCACCAGGCCCTCCAGGTAGCCATGGTCCACATTGAAGCATAGCTCAGCAACTTCCAGCATGGGGACAGGTCAAGCAGGTCAGGCTGGGACAGCAGTGTCCTGGGAGCCCCAAAGACGTGTACTGGTGTGAGAGTGCTGGCTGGCACAGGATTATCAGGAAGCTGTCCAGCAGCTGATAGTCAGGCTTTTGGTGACTAGTTTCCTCCTGTTTCAGTGGCTTTGAACATAGAGTGCTCAGTCTTATTTACAGTAACAGTGAATAAGCTTTATAACACATCAACCCAGGAAGCCACAACTACAAGGAGGAAGGAGTGGGTCAGGGCTGGTTCTGTCCCACACAGAGCCACAGGCCCCTTCCCAGCTTTGCTATTGGAAGGGGAAAAACAGCTGAATATTTTGTAAACATCTCCCTCTTCCCAGTTGAGATTTCAAATGTAAATTACATTTGTCCTCATTTTCTTCAGGAATATTAATGTAAAGAAAGAGGAGGCCTTTTTTAAAAAAAAATTATGTTATGCAAATACATCCGTTATGAACAGGCAGACTGAAGAATCCCGAGAAGTTAATCTGGCATTTTTTGTTTGTTTTTCTTTAAACTTTAAAACTTTTTGTTAAGAGATATTTCAAACATACACACAAAAAAGCAATGCCATAATTAATCACTATGGATCCATCACCCAGCTTCAGTCATGTGCTCTTGGCCAATGTTGGGACAGCTTTGCATCAGGCTTTCTCTGTAAAGGGCCAGATAGTAAATATTTCTGGCTTAGTGGGTTCATAGAGTCTCTGTTGCAATCAGTCAACATGGCCATAGTACAGAAAGCAGCTACAGACCACACAGAAATGAATGGGTATGACAGAGTTCCAACCAAACTTTCTTTACAAAAACAGCTGATGGGCCAGACTTGGCCTCTGACCCACTGTTTTCCAAACCCTGATCTCTGACCTTGGCCCCTTCCTTCCCACAGTGAATCATTGTCACGTAAATCCAAGATATCCTGTTATTTTATCCATAAATATTTCAGTAAGTGTCTCTAAAAGATAAAGACCCTTTTACAGTATAATAATACAATTATTACTTAATATTAAATATATTTTCAATGTTCAAATTTTCTCAACATAAATTTTATGTTGTTATACTTGGTTTATTTGAATGAGGAGACATGACATTTGATTTATATTCCCTTAACTTCTTGTAGGTACACTTCCCCTTCCATTATTCTGCTTTCTGTTTAACAAACTGGGTCACATGTTCTGCAGTTTTGGAATTTGCTGATACCATCTTGAGGTGTCATTTAACTTATTCCTATAAGTTGGTAAATTCCTATAAGTTAGTAGTTAGATCTAATACTTTATGTTATATTCTTGGTGTTTTTTTGTAGGAACACTTCACATCTGTTTTGAATACTTCCATCAGGGTGCAGGTAATGTCCTGTCTGTCCTTCTTTAGTTTTTAATGTTAGCAGCCATTTATGATCACCATCTAGATGCAGTTTCACGGAAGTAACAAAATGATTAATTTAAAAATTTTCATTCCTTCTTCATTTATTAACTGAAATATTTCCATAAAAAGAAACTTTTCATTTTTTAAAAATTTATTTATTTTTTATTATTTTCCCATTTATTAATTTTTCATTTATTTATTTATCTATATTTAATTAATTAATTTATTTTTTCAAATACATTTGTCTCTGACTACCCCCCACCACTTTCCCTTGCCCCCTCCCTCCCTCAACTCTTCCCCTTTGGTTTTGTCCATGAGTCCTTGCTATATGTTCCTTGACTTTCCCCTTCCTTTCCTTTTCCCCCCGCCACCCCTCCCTCCTTCCCTCTTGTCTCTGTTGGTTTCTTTTCCTTTCAGTGTTGTTGATCTTATTTTCCTTGCATCTTTGTATTGCTGGTTAGTTTCCACTTATAGGTGTGATCATATGGTATTTGTCTTTCGCCCCCTGGCTTATTTCGCTTAGCATAATGCTCTCAAGTTCCATCCATGCTGTTGCGAAGTTTAGTAGTTCTTTTTTTCTTTCTGCTCCGCAGTATTGCGTTGTGTAAATGTACCATAATTTTTAGATCCAGTCATCTACTGATGGGCATTTAGGTTGCTTCCAATACTTGGTTATTGTAAATTGTGCTGCTATGAACATTGGGGTGCATAGGTTCTTTTGTATTGGTGTCTTGGTGTTCTTAGGGTATAGTCCCAGCAGGGGATCACTGGATCAAAAGGCAGTTCCATTTTCAGCTTTGCGAGGAAATGCCACACTGCTTTCCCCAAGGCTGCAACAGTCTGCATTCTCACCAACAGTGGACTAGAGTTCCCTTTTCTCCACAGACTCGCCAGCACCTGTTGTTTGTGGATCTGTTTATGATGGCCATGCTGACCGGTGTGAGGTGGTACCTCATGGTGGTTTTGATCTGCATTTCTCTGATGGCTAGTGATGCTGAGCATCCTTTCAAATGCCTCTGGGCCCTCTGTATCTCCTCCTTGGAAAAGCGTCTGCCCAGGTCCTTTGCCCATTTTCTGATTGCATCATTTTTCTTCTTGGAGTAGAGTCAAGTGAGTTCTTTATGTATCTTGGAGATCAAACCTCTATCTGATGTATCATTAGCGAATATATTTTCCCATACGGTTGGCTCCCTTTTCATTTTGCTGATGTTTTCTTTAGCTGTACAGAAGCTTCTTATTTGGATGAGGTCCCACTTGTTTATTCTTTCCTTTATGTCCCTTGCTTTAGGAGACATATCAGTGAAAAAATTGCTGCGTGGGATATCTGAGAGTTTCCTGCCAATATTCTCCTCTAGGACTTTTATGGTGTTGCGACTTATATTTAGGTCTTTTATCCATCTTGAGTTTATTTTTGTGTATGGCGTCAGCTGATGATCCAATTTCAATTTTTTGCATGTAGCCGTCCAGCTCTCCCAACACAATTTGTTGAAGAGGCTATTATTGTTCCACTTTATACCTCTGCCCCCTTTGTCAAATATTAGTTGCCCATATAGACCTGGGCTTATTTCTGGGCTTTTTATTATGTTCCACTGGTCTATGGGTCTGTTCTTGTGCCAGTACCAGATAGTTTTGAGTATAGTGGTTTTGTAATAAAGTGTGATGTCTGGTATTGTGATCTCTCCTACTTTGTTCTCCTTTCTCAAAATTGCTGCAGCTATTCAGGGTTGTTTATGATTCCATATAAATTTTTGAAATGTCTATTTCTATTTCTGTGAAATATGTCATTGGTATCTTAATAGGGATTGTGTGGAATCTATAAATTACTTTGGGTAGTATGGACATTCTGATGATATTAATTCTTCCAATCCATGAGCACGGTATATGCTTCAATTTATTTGTGTCTTCCTTAATTTCTTTCCTTGGTGTTGTATAGTTTTCTGCATACAGGTCTTTTACCTCCTTGGTTAAATTTAATCCTAGGTACTTTACTTTTCTTCTTGCTATTTTGAATGTTATTTTTTTTCTGATTTCTTCTTCTATTTCATTGCTGGTGTACAAAAATGCCTTTGATTTCTTAATATTGATTTTTTATCCTGCTGTTTTGCCAAATTCACTTATTAGGCTGAGGAGTTTTTTGGTAGAGTCTACAGGGTTCTCTATGTACACTATCATGTCATCTGCAAACAATGATAGTTGTACTTCCTCCTTTCCTACTTGAATGCGTTTTATTTCTTTTTCTTGTCTGACCGCTGAGGCTAGGACTTCCAATATGATGTTGAAAGAAGCGGTGAGAGCAGAAATCCTTGTCGTGTTCCCAATCTTAGTGGGAAAGCTTTTAGTTTTTGCCCTTTGAGTATGATGTTAGCTGTAGGTTTTTCATATATGGCCTTTATTATGTTGAGGAATGCCCCATTTATTCCCATTTTGCTGAGTGTTTTGATCATAAATGGGTGCTGTACCTTGTCAAATGCTTTTTCTGCGTCTCTTGAGATGATCATTTGGTTTTTGTCTTTTCTTTTATTTATGTGATGTATTACGTTTATTGACTTGCATATATTGAACCATCCCTGCATCCCTGGGATGAATCCCACTTGATCGTGGTGGATAATCTTTTCAATGTATTGCTGGATGTGGTTTGCCAATATTTTGTTGAGGATTTTAGCATCTATGTTCATCAGCGAAATTGGCCTGTAGTTTTCTTTCTTTGTAGGGTCTTTATCTGGTTTTGGGGTCAGGGTGATGCTGGTCTCATAAAAAGAGTCGTGAAGTCTTCCCTCCTCTTGGATTTTTGGAATAGTCTTTGAAGGCCAGGGCTAAGCTCTTCCTTAAATGTTTTGTAAAATTCTCCTGTGAAACCATCCAGCCCTGGGCTTTTGTGTGCTGGGAGTTTCTTGATTACTGCTTCAATTTCCCCAGCTGTTATCGGTCTGTTCAAGCTTTCTGCTTCGTCCTCCTTCAGTGCTGGAAGATTATACTTTCCAGAAAGTTGTCCATTTCATCAAGGTTTTCAAATTTCTTGGCAAATAATTGTTCATAGTAGTTTCTCACAACCCTTTGTATTTCTGTGGTATCAGTTGTTATTTCTCCTCTCTCACATCTGATATTATTGATTTGGGTCCTCTCCCTTTTTTTCTTAATGAGTCTACTTAAAGACTTGTCAATTTATTTATCTTTTCAAAGAACCATCTTCTGGATGGTTGATCCTTTGAATTGTCCTGCACAGCAAGTTTTTCTATGTCATTCAGTTCTGCTCTAATCTTGACTATTTCCTTCCTTCAACTTGCTCTGGGATTTATTTGTTGTTGTTTCTCCAGTTCTTGAAGTTGTAGTGTTAGGTCTTTTATTTTAAATGTTTCTATCTTTTTTAGATAAGCCTGTATTGCTATGAACTTCCCTCTCAGGACTACCTTGCTGTGTCTCATGGGTTTTGGACTGTTGTTTTTTCATTTTCATTTGTTTCCAGAAATTTTTTGATTTTTTCTTTTATCTCATTATTGACCCATTATTGTTTAATAGTGTACTGTTCAGTCTTCATGAGTTTGCAAGTTTTTGAAGTTTCTCTTTGAGGTTGATTTCCGGTTTCAAGCCCTTGTGGTCCAAGAAAAAGTTGGTATTA